CTTCTCCATCAAACCCCGGCAGTGAGAGAACCGAACAGATGTGGTGGAGGTGGGAAGTCAGGATGAACTGGGAATGACTGGAGAAAGGGTGGAGAGCCGCGTTTTTTCCCTGCTTCTTTCACTACTGTTGTCAAGGTTAGCTTCCCAGGTACAAGTGTGCAGCTACGGCTGGTTTGTCAAAGCAAATCAGCACAAWTTTTGTACAAAGTATGGATTTGGGAGTGAGATCTGAGTTCTTCACTGAAGTACAGGCTTAAACTCCACATTCAAATGCACAAAGAAWTGCTGGATTGCTTTGGAGAGCTGCAGGTGCTGAAGAGCGAGCCCTGGAATGGCAMCAGGAGCGTGGAGCTGGTGGGCAGCTGCTCTCAGAACTTTCCAGCTTCTTTGCTCTGTGCCCTGTCTTCTCAGCGACTCCTTGGCACTGTGGAGAGCAGGATTTCCTCCGGAACAAAATTAAGGATCCTCATAATCAGCTCTTCTGATTAAACACTGCCCCACCACTAATGAGCTGGTGTCCATGCCCCATCCTGACCGTGCTGCGCCTCCACCGTGCCTGTGTCTCTCCAAGAATCCTGTCCTTGCTCACTCCTGCACCTCTGTGAACCTGACCCTGATCCCACCCGTCCAAAGCCAAGTGTTTTCTGTGGAGACATCGCTGGTGAAATCGCAGCTGTGGTCACGAAGATTGGAGCTTTTTCCTCTTTAGCTTCTGTGCCAGTGGGTCCCGACTGCCCCGTGTCACAGGCAGCAAAGTGGGTCAGGGAGGTGATCTGGGGCTGCAGAGATGGCTGGAGCTGCTGGGGACTCTCTGGAAAGGACAGCAGCAAGCTGGGGGTGCAGGGGAGTGGGGCTGCACAGGGGAAGGTTCCTCTGTAGCAGAGAGGGCTCAGAGGAGGATGGGAAATGGAAAAAGCTGCCTTAAAATATAATCTTAGCTGTGAGCCTGGCACCCTCCATGTGACCCCACAGCCCCACCTCACAATCCCCAGGGCAGTTCAGTCCCCAGCTGTCCCCAAGACTATCCCCATGTCTGTCCCCATGTCTGTCACCAGGAATGTGCCCGTGGCTGGGAGCAGGTGCTCAGTGCATCCTAAAATGCCCTAGGATGGCATCCTGACCCCTCTCATCCCTCTGTATCTGGCTACCAGCCCCTGCAGGGGGTACAGGGGGCAGTGCTGGGGTGAAGGATGGTCTCAGTGTCCCGAGGCTTCTCCTCTTTAACCAAAACCAAAAATGACACCCTGTGCTTGTGCCTGCCAGTGCTATCCCAAGGACGAGCTGGGCTTGCAGGAAGGACATGGAGAGTCTGCCTCAGCAGAGGACACCTTGGGGTGGAAAGGCAACAGCAGCAGTGCCATGGCCACGAGCTGAGCTCAGCTGGCCAKGGAGCACCCACAGCCCCACACCCTGCACAGGTACAGAGGGACACGGCACATCTTGTGGTGCCTTTACCCCAGCCTGGACTAAGCGCACTTGGGGAGGTGCTGGGAGGATTGCCCACATATCCAGGCTGGAAGACACCTCTGGAGGTCTCTTATCCACCTTCAAACAGGTCCATGTAGTGAGGTTGGTCAGGATCTTGTCCAGTAGGTAAACCCACTGGATAATTTTGGGTGAGTCTCAGATTCCCTCACCTTTTTCCCATTTTTTACTATCCTGGTTTTCTTAATATCCAATTGCAATTTCTTGAGGTTCAYCTTGCACCCATTACCTCTCACTCTTCCTCTGCACAAGTCCAAGGAGATGCTGGCTCCAGCTTCTCCACTCCCTTCCAATCCCTAGKTAGAGGGAGCAGTGACACTGCTCCRTCCYTCCTTTCCTTGTGAATGCTGATCAAAGCTCGCTGTCCGAGCAGTGTGTGCGGCATGGGCAGGGTGGGGAGCACTGCCCCATGGAGAGGGGGCTGGACATGCTGCAGGGACGAGATGAGGATGAAGGACACAAACSTGGAGGGCACCAGGAACACCACCAYGACTCAAAGCTCAGCTGGAGGAGCCATCCCCCACTTCCCGAGGGTCCCCAGCCTCACGGAGGGGACAGTGCCTGCTGTGTCCTTGTCCCTGGCCCCTGCACACCTTGCCGTGTAGCCAGGCACAGCCCAGTGCCTGCAGGGGCAGGGACACCTGGGGAAGTSTCCCCAGCAGGGTCTGAGGGGAGCAAAAAGCAGATCCAACCCAGGAGTCTCCCCAAGCAGAAAGGTGCTCATTCCCCACTGTTTCCTCTGGGGTGAACGGGACCAGGAGCCTTCAGGGCTGTTCTCACCTTGCAGAGACATTTTGAGACCCTGCCTGGAATT